ACAAATGTGGTGATCATAAAGCAGTAGAACATCAACATCATCAACATCATGGTGAACAATGTTCTCATCAACATCATCATCAACATGATAAAGTAGAATCATCATCTGCTAATCTTTCTGCTGTACAAATTAATAGCATGTCATTTGATCAAATTGCTAGTGGATGGGATTCAAATCCAAACAAGTCTCAATTCTCTCGTAATGTAGCTAATGGTATTATGGAAGTACATGAACATGCTAGAAATCAAAGTGAAAAATTATCAAATTCTAATTTACTTGTTATGGATTTTGGAGCAGGAACTGGTACTTTAACTTTAATGTTTTTGAATCATTATCTTTCACAAATTGAAAGAATTGATGCTGTTGATGTTAGTTCTGGAATGTTATCACAATTACAAGATAAAATTACCAAATTAACAAATGATAACATGTTAACATGTGGTGAAAAGATTGTTATTAATAATATTGACTTGGAATTGGCTGAACAATCTTTACATCCTATTAGTTTAAATAAGGGTAAATATAATGTTATCATGTCTGGTATGGTTTTCCACCACTTGGAAAATATTCCAGAAAAGATTAAATTAATTTCATCTTATTTGGCTCCTGGAGGTATGTTTATTTTGGATTAGAATAATCATCATTTATACTATATTTAAATAATATTAAGGTGTTTTAATTTTCACAGATATTGATAAGGATGAAGAACATTCTGATAAATTCCATTGTAAACATATGAGTGATGCAGTTCAATATAAGGGTGGATTCAGTGCTTCTGAATTAAAAGTTTGGTTAAATGATGCTGGTTTAGTTAATGAACAATTTTTCAGAAATGTTGAAAATGCAAAGAAGGGAAATGATGGAATGGAACGAAAATTCACTTTAATGACCACATTAGCTTTCAAACCAGAAATTTAATAAAACTCTTTCATATTTGGATCTAACATAAAGTTTTCAACAATTGATAAAACTGAAGATCCTTTCTCAACTCGAGGAGATTCTATTGGTTTGGCTTTTTGATATAACAATTCTTCCAATCTCTTTGATGGTACATTCCTAACTGGTGTTTTCAATTGTGCTTGTTGGAATTGTTGTGAATAAGACATTGTCTGTTGTTGAGATTGTCTTATTGGATCTGATCTTGAAACTTCCATTATTGGCTTTGGCCTTTCTGGTATTCTTTCTCGTTCTTGATTAAGTTTTTCTGTTGGAATTGGTGTAATTATTGGTCTAGGTCTTTCTGGTACCTTTTCTCTTTCTGTAATTCTTTCAGGTACCTTATCTATAGGTTGAGTAGGCTTAGAAATTATATTTTGTTGAGTTGATGCTCTATTAGAATATTGTGGTACATAACCACCCATATTACTTGGATTTGTTTGATTTCTTACTATTGATTGAGGCTTAACTGGTGGTGGATTTTGAGGAGGTAAGGAAATTTCTTGTTGTTTTGGAATTGGTGTTGAAGATTGTCTTGTTAATCTTGGTGGAGGTTTGGAAACTATAAAGTTTGAAACATTATCTTGTTGAGGAGTTTCTTCATCTTCATGGACATTTGGCTTATCTTTTGGAATTGGTGGTGGTTTAGATTTTACAGGTGAATCAATTTTAGAAATATTTGATGCATCTATTATTTCAGATGAATTTAAAACTGGTTCATCTCTAATTGCTGTCTCTTCATTCTTCGATGTTACTAAAACAGGTTCAAAATTACCCTTATGTGGATTTGTTTTTTTATCCATTTGAATTTGATCTTTAATTTTAGATTCAATTCTATTCAAATTATATGGAATACTGTAATGATATTATGTAAAAATTGTAATGAAAATATTTGAACATACCCAAATTTAGGTGGAACAGAAGAATGCCTAGTATTTGATTGTTTTTTCAAAGGTGTCTTTTTTGTAGGATCTTTCTTAGATGTTACTCCTTTCTTCTTTTTTGCAGGAGATGCCATATTAGTTGACCATGCAATTGATTTTGGATTTTCTTCTTCTTGAATAATTGGTCCTTCTTCTATTGGAATTGTTAATTTTTGAGGTCTTGGTTTTGAGATTGGTACTTGCTCATTAATAATATCTGAATTTGCTCTTCCTCTAGGTGTTGTTACTTGAGAAGGTGTTTGACTATTTGAATAGGATGATGGAGGAGGTGAAATACTACTAGTAGCATTATAATTTATAATTTTGAATTGGATTTGATTGAATTGGAATTGCTGGTTGTTGGGATGGTTGCATGTAAACTTGTGATTGTTGAGGTGGAAAAGAAGATTGAGGAGGATTAATATGATGATGAATTACAGGTGAACTTAATGGATGACTTTGATAGGAAGGATAATGAACAAATGTTGGTTGGTGAGGAATAATTTGAGGTGAAAATGTTGGTGGATAGGCATGTTGAGTATTATTTGGATATGGAGGGTTGAAATAATCATGAACATTAGGTATTGCTTGTTGGTGATTTGGTGTATTGGAATAATAAGAAGGACGTTGCTGAGCATCATATTGAGGTTGTTGTCTCATTAATGTTGGTGAATCATCATATGAATTATTGGAATAAGGATTGTTATTATAATTATTTTGTTGTTGCTGTTGTTGATAAGATGATCTATTGTTATTATTATTGGATTGTTGTCCCTTATTGGGTGATGATGGTATCATATTATTAGGCTTTTCAGTCAAGTAATCACCTTCTCTATTATTATAATTTGAATACTGTTGTTGTTGATTATTGTTGTTTGATTGAAAATTAACTCCTTGTCTTTCACCTTTTCGCCATCTAGAAGAAGGCTTGAATCTACTTTCATCATTTTCATAATTATCATCATACTCCTGTTGTTGTCTATTATATCCATTATTATTATTATTATTGAATCCAGTGTTATTATTATTATTGTATGACTGTCTTTGATCATAAGGTTGTTGAGGCTGTTGCTGTTGTGGTTGAGAATTGTTTGTATTGTGGAGTGATTCTATAATATATAAATTTGAATAAGACATCATCTCCGATATTAAATTAAAACATACCAGCAATATCTCTAATAACTTCCAGTGATGAATAAGGTCCATTTCTCTTATTGACTGTCCTAATTCCAATCAAGACAAGATATGCAATAATTTGATCCAATTCTTCGGAGAAGG